TGAGGAAGCAGCCTTCAGAAGCCCAATTCACCAGGTCTACGTGTGATACAGACATGAGAGAAATAAATGTCAAGCACAAAGAGAGTGTTCTTCAGCTGCCTGACAGAGGATGTACATTCTAGCACAGTGTCCAGGTCTTTAAAGAGAGGCTAATGGAAGACATGTCTGTTAGTTACAGGGTCAAACTGGAAACGGGCTCTCCAGCGCCCAGCTGTCTGTCTATGAGGAGTGACAGCTCAATGATCCAACCAATCTCCTTCAGAGATGGATTCTTCACAACAGAAGACAGGTGAGTCACTGTGCCATATATACCACTTTTGAATCTTGAGTAAGATAGCATTGAATGGTGAGCCTTCACAGAATTCCTTAAAGAATATGAAATAACATTTTAATTTACAGAGTTTTCTGAGAGACAGGTTCCTTTGATGTACATCTACCCTGGCATCTACTAAGCATGTGTTTTCTGGCTGCAGTAGAAGTCTCATCTCTTTGCAAGCAGGTCCAATTGCTTATAAAGAAAATAAGGTGTTTTGTCTGAGAGATGATGCAGCAAACTCACAGCAGTGAATACATCAGTGCAGGTTCCTGAGCACAGTGAACCATCCCATTGAAACCTGCAGATCACAGAGAAATACCTCTGACCATGGATAGATTCTACAGCTAAACAGATTAAATGAATTATATCCAATGGCTTTGTTCGGAAAGCTAGAAGTCCTAATCTGTGTTCGTTGTGCATAACATACGAGTCTGTTTCTCCTGTAGAGAGAGAAGAATGAGCATGTTCAGCCTCTGCTCTGGTCTGCTTCAATTATCTACCTGCTCAGAACTAAATGAAAGCATACCAAAAACCTTTTATAATGCCTTATTTAAATATACAGATGCAGCCATTAAAAAATTTGCGGTAAAATGTGTACTGCTGTAAAGACCACCCCGACATACCGTTATGTGATTGGCTGGCCAAAATGACCGACAGGGGGCAGTTGTGGTACACTAGTTTTTAGTGAAACGATTGCTTTACTAAATTCTTTACTGTGCATGTTTAAATCTGCTAAATATGGAATATTAATATGGAATTTGACAACTAAAGGAAAAGGTTGGTAGCTAAGCATAAAAATAACAGGAACATAATATCTCTGAATGTCATGGATGATATTAATTTAGGAAAATATATATATTATACAAAGTGTATACTGTATGACTGGTAGTTTAAATAAAATAATCCCACTTTCTTCACAAACATTTTATGTATCAAAGGCTTTCACTTGGTCACTTACTCTGGTTATTTTGGAAATGGTTTAACGTGCTCATTCTGACAATATTAACTTTTATTTTTTTAACCTTTTCTCTAAAAACTTGTGCTCGTTATCACAGTGAAAAACTGTATATGTTTAGAATCCACTTAATAGGGAATATATTATGGAATCGCCAATTTAAAGAAAGATATCCATTTAAAATCTAAATGTAATGTATTTCTTTACTGTATATAGTTTGTAGTATTTCCATAGTCCACATTCTTTGTAAACATTTTACTTTTTACTTGACTCATTTGATTGCTTTCAAAATATTTTTAAGCTGTTTGTTTCATTTTTGTTGCCGAGCAGATTGTTGGTACAGCGGTTTTGTCAAGAGACACCCTCTCGGCCTCCTGGGTTTAATACCTTCTTAGAGCACAAGCTTTTCTTCTAACAAAGAAAGTCTTATTTTTACAAAATAAAACAGTAAATATTGTGTATTAGCAATTATTATTTTTTCTATATTACAATGTATTCAATGTTAAGTGAACACATGGTACAGTATTAAAGCTTAATAATGTTAGCATTATAACTTATGAGGTACAATATATAAGCTTAATAATGTTAGAACAAGCACGTAAAATCCAGAACCCACTGTAAATTACCAAGTTAAAGACTTTGAAGCATAAAATATTGATGCATAATTACATTATTTATGAAGAAGGTGGAAGGTTGTGTACTTTTGACCAACCGAGCAATCCTGCTTTTATAAAATATACCGGCTTTTTAATCAGTTTAATGTTTAACATACTGTAATACACAGTTTAAAACTATTAAAAGTCTAAAGAGTATACAACTTAAATTCTTAATTGGAAAAAGATTGTTCCTCAGCATTGACCGGGATTTGAAATAGGGTGTTTTCTGGCGACAGCCCAAATGCTGCACATGAGACGTTAAGCTTCATTAGTTTTACAAGGTATTTCACCCTACTTCAAAAAGTATGCAATACATTTCGACACAATACGGTAATATACGGTAATTTGCAGTACATCTACCGCGTTTTACCACAGCATACCTTGCACATTTTGAATGTCTAGATCCGTATCTATATGGATATAGATGTATTTATTAAGCTGGTTGTGGTAGGGTATTCCATTTTCTTCATACACATCTGCATTGAATTCTTTATTTTCTGAGTATTTTGTCATGTTTGTCTTAACTACATTTTGCTGATTATGCTGTCGCAATAAACTATGAAACACTTATAGTTTGTAATGTGCTGTATGGTGCAGTGACCAAGGTACGCTTTGGTACAGTGGTTAAATGCTCACCTGCTATTCAGAACATCCAAGGGTCCTGTTTTAAAGCACAAGGTTTATTTTTCAAAATGGAAGTAAGGTTGCTTCACAGAGTTAAATTACTGTGCTGGATATGTAAATAATACTGTGCTTTTTTCATGTTTACATCCGCATTAATTGTATTGATATATTGTCTTAATGCTAAATTTAGCAACAAGTAATTAGGAAACATTTACATTAGAGTTTGATTATGAAAAGTATATTTCACATACTGTACTATAGTTTCACATGCTATACTTTTCTGTAGAGGCCTTAAAACTATACAGCATCATGCTGCATTTCCTGTATACACAGTATATTTATATAATATACCCTCAGTTAATTGTACACTATCAGTTCAACATATCTGTGGATATGACTTCATGTGATTTTTGTGTGTGGCATGTTGGGAACTAAAGTATTTGTTCACATTTTAGACTGCAGTAAACATACTAATGGGAAATTAGTGTTTTTATAAAACAGAAAATTTGCTAATTTACTTATGTTAAAGAGCATCAAAGAACGAACAGAAGCAGAAGACAGGAGACTGTAAATTCAGCCCCATCCCCCTGCCTATTCCAAATAACAAATACAGCGGGACGTAATACCCCCACCGTCTGAAAAAAACTTTGTTAAAGAAATGTGAGTAAGGATCTGCATCAGCATGTGTAGGCTGCAAAGGAACAACTGAAGGTTTTCAGCATTTCAGAAAAGAAACTTCACTTCTTCCTAATGTTTGTTAAAATGATCACACGATAAACTCCTCTATAACACCTCAGTTTACAGAATAATTCTTGTGGCCTCCCTGCCTTGCTTCCAGACAAAAGAGTGTCCCTGTAGCATAAGGGAACAGCGCATCAGTCCTTGATTGTGGTTACACTGTACGTGCGATGTCTGGTGGAGTTTCAGCATTCGCCTTTCTAATCTGTACCGGACCGTAACGTTCCATCAAGGTTTGGTACCAATGAACAAGGGGGACTCCACAGATTGTTGCTTGAACTTAACCATGCTTCAGCAAATTATCTACCTCCTTCTGCAATACCTCTAATTGAGCAGGATATATTCGATAAGTACGTTAACTGGGGTAACATTACATATGTCTGTATCACTGTATGACACAAGTTGAGTTGGAGTCTTTTCTGATAGAAAAGACAGATTGCCTTCAGCGAAATTGCCTGTTTCAACTAAATAAGATGAATAGAAAGTCAAATCAGTTGGGATCTCTGACTTTCTTTCAGGATCACAAATCCATCACTTATAATAATTGATCCCGATAGAGCCACTTTTTCGAGACATAATTAACCTTCCAGAATGTCTTTGGACTATGCAGTTCTCTGCATAATATCGTATTGTGTAGTGATCAGCTGTGGAATGATAGAATTGGTCTAGATATGCGTATGGTAAATACAGCATGATGCTGTATGGTTTTAAAGCCACTGCAGTACATAATCAAACAATCAAACTAAAGTTGTTTCTTATTTACTTGTTGCATAAATTTGCATTATAGATTAATTTAAGCAAATATACTAAAAATATAGATTAATTTCATGCAGATGTAAACCTGAAAAAAGAGTAACAACAAGCTGTAATAATAAACACTATATCCAACAGAGTGATTTTCCTTTGCAAAACAACTACAATTTAATTTTTAATATTAAGTCAATGTTTAAGTTATTATGTTATACAGTATAAAAATTACATTCTGTAATTGAAAAAAGTTCTTGTTCTTGTTGGGCTAAGCATTGACCAGGATTTGATATGAAGTGTTTCAAATGACAGCCCAGAATACATCACAATAAGCATTCACTGGACCACTTGGTGGTATTACAAAGTAATGTAGTGCTGCATCAGAGTTTTTAAAAAGTAATGCTTTTTAATGGGGTGGTATATTAAACTGCATTATTTGTTGCGCATTCTAAATAGCAGCATCTATACATTGTCAAACAGAAAACCACTGAAAAGTACTGTCTAGCAGTGAAACACCACTTTATCCAATTCAGGGTCTTGGGGGAGCTGAAGCCTATCCTGGCAAGTAACAGACATAAGCACTTAGACACAAGCACACTCACAATCACACCAGGGCCAGTTAACCTTTGGGATGTGGGGAAACCAGAGCACTCTGAGGAAAACCATACAGATACAGGAAAAACATGCAGACAGCACCCCAGGTCTGGTATTGAATCTGGTGCCCCAGCGCTGTGAGGCAGCACTGCAGCACCATGCAGTGGAATAACGTCAACACTCCAAACCTAAAGGAAATGGAGGTTCAGTGAGGAAGCAACCTTCAGAAGCCCAATTCACCAGACCCACCTGTAATGCAGACATGACAGAAATAAATGTCAAGCACAAACAGAGTGTTCTTCAGCTGCCTGACAGAGGATGTACATTCTAGCACAGTGTCCAGGTCTTTAAAGAGAGGCTAATGGAAGACATGTCTGTTGGTTATAGGGTCAAACTGGAAACGGGCTCTCCAGCGCCCAGCTGTCTGTCTATGAGGAGTGACAGCTCAATGATCCAACCAGTCTCCTTCAGAGACAGATCCTTCACACCAGAAGACAGGTGAGTCACTGTGCCACATACACCACTTTTGAATCTTGAGTAAGATACCACTGAGTGCTGAGCCTTCCAACACAGAATTTCTTTGAAATATGAAATAGATTTTTAATTTTCAGATATGTCTGAGAGACTGGTTCCTTTGATTTACCTGTGACCTGGCATTTACTCACTGTGTTTTCTTTGGCTGCAGTAGAAGACTCATCCCTTCAGATCCAATTGCTTGTCACAGAAAGATTTAAAGTGTTTTGTCTGAGAAACAATGCAGCAGACCCACAGCAGTGGATACCTCGTGAAGTTTCATGAGCACAGTGAGACTTCCCAGTGAATCTGCAGATCACAGAGAAACACCTAGATGCATCTCTGAGCACGGAGACTTTCCACTGATAAGCAGTTTAAGTGAGAGTGTGTGTGCAGTGAATTATACCCAATGGGTTTGTGTGGAAAGTTAGGTTGTGTAGTGTTCGTCACTGGTTGGTTTGTTCTCAACTCTCATTCTCAACCGTAAGGCCTGACTGAGTTACTGAGTTACCAAAGTACGGCTTGCTCTTTCAGTTGAGTAGCACACAGAGCAGCACCCTAAGACCCCAATGAAGGTTGCAAATGAAAGTGGAGAACCACTTTATCATAGATAAATACCCGAGTAAAGACCCTTATTCACAACACAGTATCAGAGTGGTGCCCCAGATAACAGAGAAATACCACATGTACACCCCGTCAGATCTTATGGAGCATATTCAGTATGGACTCAAATTCAAAGTGTCACACATTTTATACTGAAATACCCCAAAGATCCGAGATCATTAGTGCAACCACCTTGTCACATTGAGATACCAAAGTGATGGTTCAAGACTACGGTGATGTACCCATTAAAGCCCTTATGTCGCAGTTAGATACTCCAGTGATGTTCTCAACAACACATTGTAATAACCCTGTGAAGCTCCTGCTTTGCTGAGATGTTTCCATTAAACCAATATATCCCCAGTTACATTTCCTGATCACCCTTATGATGACTACAGATCACCACAATGAGAGATCCCCCTAGACTTTAGTGAAATATGCTAGTAAGGCACACTTAGATTCCAGCAGCAGCCCCAGATCATAACTGATAAATGTAGAGACATAACAGTAGGGGCACTGTAGGACATTTAGGTAAGGATAACTATATACACAATACTGCTGACAGGAGGAAGATTCAAATATTCTTTACTCAGCAGCTTATTAAAAACAGCTCCTGTGACACAGCTTTGTGTTCTGAATCTCTTTTTCTCGTGCTTTTATTTAATGTGGCACTATGCACTGGGATAGGGGTATTCTGTTCACGAGCCAATAGCATTTAAACCACAGCACCCACAATCCCACAAGTAAGTGTTTTACACACTAAACAGGTCCTCTGACCTTTTCAAGCCTTGCTTTGGGTTGTGAAAACTCTTAAGTTTTTTTATGATTTTTTCAATATGGCACTATTAGACATGCAATACACTGGGATAATGGCGTCTTCTTCATGACTCAATAGCTTTCTAAGCATAACACCCACAGTGCTGCAACTAAGTGTTTCATTCACTAGGCAGGTCCTCTGACTTATACTTCATAGTATACAGTAAATGTGCCTGCTCAAAATCCAGCAATACCAAATACCTTATATACCGTAATGCCTGTATAGGTTACGTGGCTTGTGGACTAGTCGAAATTTAACTGACAGTTAAGTATAGCATGGAGAAATACTGGATTTTGTTTTACATTATGTCAAGGAGTTTGTGTAGTGTTCGTCACTGGTTGGTTCGTTCTCAACTCTCATTCTCATCCAGTAAAGCAAGGCCTGACTGAATTACTGGGTTACCAAAGTACGACTTGCTCTTTCAGTTGACTAGCACACAGAGCAACATGAGAGCACCCTAAGACCCCAGTGAAGGTTGCAAATGAAAGTGGGGAGCCACAATATCATAGATAAATACCTGAGTAAAGCCCCTTTTTCACAACACAGTATCAAAGTGGTGCCCCAGATAACAATGAAATACCACATGTACACCCTCAGATCTTAAGGAGCATATTCAGTATGGACTCAAATTCAGTGTCACACATTTTATACTGAATAACCCCAGTAAAGCTCAGAGATCATCAGTGCTACCACCTTGTCACATTGAGATACCAAAGTGATTGTTCAAGACGACAGTGATGTATCCATTAAAGCCCTTATGTCTCAGTTAAATACACCAGTGACGTTCTCAACAACACACTGAAATAACCCTGTGAAGCTCCTGCTTTACTAAGATGTTTCCATCAAACCAATATATCCCCAGTTACATTTCCAGATCACCCTAATGATGACTACAGATCACCACAAAGGTTCTGTGCAAAAGTCAGAGAGCCCCCTAGACTTTAGTGAAATATGCCAGTAAGTCACACTTAGACTCCAGCAGCAGCCCCAGATCATAACTGATAAATGTAGAGACATAACAGTAGGGGCAGTGTAGGGCATAGTTAAAAAATTATATTTCAACTTGGATATATTTTGTCTGTGTAAAATTGAAGCAACAAGTATCTGGAGTGTCAAACTGTTCAGAATGAACCCAGTGTTAATATTAAGTTTTAATATTTTTCTTAACTGTAATGAGGTAGCATAAGGTGCTCTCAGGTGGAAGAATACTGTATATACTTTATTTGATTACAAACTCAAAATAGTATAATCATTTAATAGACAAAATATTTTGTAAATTACAGAATAGGAATGTTATTTTTCAGTGCTAACATCCTAACTACACCTTAGGAAGTAACTTGATAAAATAAAAAAGAGTAGTCTCCCTCTGGATTCCAAATGGGAACTTGTCCCATGTGGAGCTTGTGTGTTCTCTTTCCTGTGTACAGTTCAAGCTTTATTATACCCATTGGGGAAATGTGTTCTACAGCACACTCCCAATATAGCAACTGTGACAGTGTGTAAAAAGTCATTGACCCTAACAGAGAGATGGAACCAGATAAGGTTAGCAGGGACCAAAAATAACACAAAAAATGTGAAAAATAAACAAAAAGACAAAAAGATGTACCACTGTGCTGTGTTATCTCCAGGCTGGCTTAGCAACAAAGATGTCAGTGAAACAGTTACAGTAAAATCATAGTTGAAATAGATATTGCAGTGAGAATGGAAGATTAGTATTACTAATAATATAACTAAGTGTGTCAGCATGAGTAGGCTACAAAGGAAGAAGTAAAGATTCATACGATGCTGAAGAAGAAAAGAAACAGAGTGTAAATCTGATTATGCTACAGGCTGGAGCTCATTCTCACTGCATGCTGTAGTTCCCGTCACTCTGCACACTGGAGCTCCTGCTCATTGTCATGTTCTGAGTCTGACTTCACATTTCCTCCTGTGTCTCTACAGTGAGTTCTCAGCAATTCTACTGGGAGAGATGTGCACATGTTCATTGTGTAAGACGTTACTGAAGGATCCAGTCTCCATTCCCTGTGGACACAGTTACTGCAGACAGTGCATTCAGGGCTACTGGGATCGGCCTGTTGATGCTGGAAGCTACCCCTGCCCCCAGTGTGGAAAGATCTCTGACCGTCTCCCCATTCTATACCCAAGCACATTCCTGGATCAGCTGCTACAGAAGCTCCAAACTCCCCTGCTCAGTTCTGCTCTTCATGGTCATGACTGCTCCAGGCCTGGAGATGTGGCCTGTGATTTCTGCACTGGGAGGAAGCTCAAAGCTGTGAAACAGTGTTTGACTTGCATAGTCTCCTACTGCGAGAAACATGTGTGGCAGCACTACACAGTTCCTGCCATGCAGTGTCACAGACTGGTGGAAGTAACTGGAAGATTGGAGTTCAGACTGTGCCAACAACACAACAGAGCTCTGGAGGTCTTCTGTAAGACTGACCAGACACTCATCTGTACTCTGTGTGCTATACAGGAACATAGGAGCCATGACATAGTGGTTGCTAAGACAGAGCAAGAGCTGAAACAGGTGAGGACCTTAAATACACTGAATTTTAACAGTGATACAGATGCAGCCATTCAAAATGGGTGAGGTATTTCGCGGCATACCCCGGTGGGCGTGTCGCGGTTTCACGCGGTATCACGCAGTGTCACGTGGTTAATCGCGTGTCATTTGACGCTCTGCCGGAAACTATCCGGCGTCGCCTTGTAAAACCGCCAGGGGGAGCTTAACCTCTCATGTACAGCA